ATATGTGTATATGTCCTTTTTGGCGACAGACATGTTTGCGGGAGGCATCGCATATATGTCTGTCATGAAAACCATGATATATATTTGTCCTCACCTCACATACATGTGCGGTGGAAAGCTGACACGTTTATTTGTCCTTTCCGGCGACAGACATGTATGCAGGAGACATCGCATATTTGTCGGTCATGAAAACCAGATATATGTTTGTCTTCACCTGACACACATGTGTCGTGTAAAACTGACACATGTATATGTCCTTTCAGGAAAGACATGTATGCGGGAAGTCATCGCATATATGTCTGTCATGAAAACTATGATATATATAGGTCTTTACCTCACACACATGTGTCGCGTAAAACTGACACATGTATATGTCCTTTCATGACAGACATGTATGCGGGAGTCATCGCATATATGTCTGTCATGAAAACCATGATATATATTTGTCTTCACCTAACACACATGTGTCGTGTAAAACTGACACATGTACATGACACATATGTCTGTCGGGGAAAACCTTATATATATATATGTCCTTCACCTCACACATGTGTCCTGGAAAATTGACATATACATATGTTCTTTACATCTAATATATGTCTGTCTTGAAAACCAGATGAATACGGGCTTTACCTCACACATGTATATGTCCTGAAAATCGTTTGACCTATGTGAGCTGTAGATGCATAATTCGGACAACAAAGTGATAGATAGATATCTTGTATCCGATTCAGCAGTTGAAGTATATGACTGAATAATTATCCTATAAACACATCCAATGCGTGCAGTATTTTGTTGTAGTTGAAGGGAAGGGTTTCTTTTATTGTCATACTTACACTCTACACAGGCGCGGCCTACTCTGACGTTGGACTAACATAAAGCAAATATCTTATTATTTTATTTTATTTTAATTCTATTTATTAGTTTGGCTGTAAGAAGACCATTTGCACAGCCAAGGCAGCCCAAGTAGCCAGACGGCTATTATTAAGGGCTTGTCCTGCTGACAAGACAAACATTTACACGTAAATTACAATAACACAATACAACAACGTGGAGAGGTCAGGGTCACACACCAAGAGAGTTCGATAGCTTCCTTTTGAAGGAGGCAATAGTAGTGGCAGTGCGAGCGTCAGTGAAAATATCTAGGGTAGCGAGCAACGTTTCTAGTGATTAGCGATGCATATATACAGATGAAAAGTTACCACGAAAAATTACAAATTATGTCAACCGTCACTAAGGCTATCAACACCGTGCTATCAACGTATACAAAAAGTCAGGACGATTCTTCAAACTCTACAAATCCCTTGAAACAAACCAAAACAGGGGGCCCAAGCTGACACTTCCTCTTTACAAGTGCGATCCTAAGACTAGTAAGAGCTATGTATGTACTTTGAAAAATTATATCTTCGTCTGTGTTAAGCTGTTAAGAGTCTATCCAATGACATGAAAGCTCCTTGGTCTGTCCTAAAGCTGCAACATTCATGAGTGTGTTCTACCATCTATATATGTGTGTATGTATAAGAGAGACATATATGAGTGTGTCCTAACATGATATGTGTATGTGTAAAGCGAAAGATATACATGAGTGTGTCCTATCCACTATGTGTGTGTGTGTGTGTAAAGTTGGACATACATGTGTTTGTGCGACCGTGTATACATGTGTGTGTCAAGCTGGAGACATACGTGAGTGCAAAATCTATCCTTATATATGAGGAATTAGTAGTCTTTATATATATGTAATTTTGCGACACTTGGCCCTCCGTAGTACAGGGGACCTTCCCGGTGTGAGTGGTTCAAACCTTACAGTCTGGTCTCGGGGTTGACATATTTAAAGGTGATAGTCATCTGTTATGTCACTCCTTCCACAAATGTGGTAAATCGTCATAAATAAATAAATAAATAAATTAACAGTTACGGTATGAAGAAAGTTGTACACATCCTCGTTTGAGGTTTTTACAACAAAGTGTGTCTCATCATCATGGTGTAACGTTTTTAATAATGCAAACATTTGTTGTAAGGCCAACTGTATCTTTTGGGTGGATTGAACATGAAAACGTGAAATCTAAAGCCAAGATTGCTTTTTTTTCGCCCATGTTTGCTATGATTATTCATTGGCCTTTCATACACCTAATATTTTCCTTTTATACACCTGCATGTCATGCTAAAGATAAGTGACGTCATTTCTCGTACATCTGGCCAAAAAGCACACTAACGCGGGATCGCACAGAGCTTAAACGGATGCGGTTTCAACGTTAGACCAAAGACTCCCTCAGTGGTTGGACCAGGAGCGTCCTCTGGCGGCTGGAAGGTGAAGGACTGCAGCAGGGTTGAGAAGAACAGGAACAGCTCCATCCTGGCCAGCTGCTCACCAAGACACACACGTCGGCCTGAAAATAAAAAATAAAATCCAAGTAGTAATATTATAAAATCAGCCAACCGTCATGATATTATGATACAAAGGCCTAAGGAATCAAAGGCCTATTAAAGGCTGATAATTACCTCCTGAAAAAGGCATAAAGGACTCAGGATTGTTGATGATGTTCTCTTCCGCGTCCAGAAACCTTCCGGGGTCAAACCGGTCCGGATCAGGCCAGTAGACGGGGTCCATGTGGAGGGAGTACAGGTTCATCATCACCTGGATCAAGGAAAATAGAAAATACGTCAATCCAGTGAAACACACAGTAAACAGAACATAAGAACTAGAAAGGTCGACATTTGCTTGGGAGCAAATACAGCATATTTCAGTCCATCTCCCTCCCACGCAAAAGTGGACTATTCCAAACTTACCCCAGTGCAAAACCGACAAAGGTTCTCAAATAAATGAATTTAATCGTAGCTGTATGAGAACAAAGATGCAACAACAAGTACTTTAAATCTCGAAAGCTTTACTAATCTTATTACAGGTATACACAAACTAACAATGATGAGATTTGATACATTTTGAAGGTCTTAGGCACATAAAATTGAATGTGTGGGTCATTACGCAACACTTAGGTGCAATGTGACCTCAGGTAACCCGCAATGGAACACGTGTTCCATGGATGGAACCGGACATTCTTTAGATAGAACATGGAACGGGTATAGCACTTTTGGCCCTTTTTTGCTGAAAATAGCCATTAAAGTCCCCCAAATGAGTCATTTGGAAGTGGTGTATGCCAAATATGTGACTGCTATTCTGTAGACACATGTTCAAGGTACCCTTATACCGAATTTCAGATCATTTGGTTGTAAAACCAGCGCTCAGGATCAAAAAATCCATTTTTTGGCAAAAAATGCAACAAAAAACCTTCATAAAAAATTTTCAAAGACATGTTTCAAAAAAATGAAAAAAACGCCTGGGGGTATTGGCCCACTCTACCTCCATGCCAAATTTCAAGTCATTTGGCTGAATGATGGCGGAGTTGAATCCCTTCGACTGTTTGGCAGGAGAAGGAGAAGAAGAAGAAGAAACATCAGAGAACACAATATATTTCATCCATACCATGGTATGGACTGAAATATAAAAATGTTTTTGGTCTGGTTTTCAATGTCAACCCCTGCGATGAACCAGGACAGGGTGGGGGGAATACAAACATAGCCACGTTTGGGATTGTGTTCTCATCGCAAAAGCGCCACCTGCTCCAGTAAGAAGCTCTGAGGAACATGTCTGATAGGCATTGAAACGTAGATAAGAGACAGTGCCGGTTGTGTAAAAAGAAAACCCCAGCAGCCTATGTTCTATCAACCTGATGAAATTATCTTCGGGGAGTAACATGGTCTTGCTGACCAGTACCTTCTTCTGGATGTCGGGGTTCAGAGTCATGTAGAGCAGACTCCACAGCAGAGTGTTGGTAGTTGTGTCTATTCCCGCAATGTAGAGGTTCTCGGCCATGTACACGATGTTTTCCTCCGTCAGACCCTCCACCTTCTCCTGCTTCTCAACCTCCAGCAGGCAGAAGTCCAGGAAGTCGAGCTATCTCCCCTCTTATCACATTTTGGACCTTGACGAAATCTTTCAACGCATTGATACCTGCTCTATTCACTGAAAAATACCCACGAGAAGACATAAATCCAAAGTATTTGGTGACAAAATAAGTCTGCAACTTTCCTCATATCATGACTTACCAAACTGTTGAGAGCTATCTACGGGGCCCTTGTTAATGTTAGATCAAAGAGCAATTTCCAATATGTATGTAGCTAGCTAGCTTGTTTGTATATATGATTCGTTTGTAGCTACATGCAAGTGTATGTTAGACAATGAACTGAATGAAAAAACTCCCAATATTCTACGTACCTCCAGGAACAAACCGCAGCAAGGGGAAGACGGTGATGATCTGTCCAGCTCCAAGTTCAGCCATAACCGAAACGACCGCCTCTGCCCGTTCTCGGAACGTCTCGTCCCTGTAGTCAGATCGCTTCCCCATCACCATGGAACAGATGACGTTTGCAACCGCCACGGTGACGTCACGGGCGATGTCAAAGGGCCTTCCATTGTATTCTGCAATCTAAGTTGAAATTCAAACAGAATCTAAAATAACAAAATGATAATGAATTGCAAAATAGATAAATATCGTAAACATGGTTATGAGACAAAAAAATATGTGATTAATAATAAAACCTTAAGCTTAGTACTGTTCACTACTATCACACAACGGAATAGACACCAAATATTCGAGAGGAAAAGTTTAGGATTTTCCATGGTTTATCTTTGGCTTCACCTTACCATATTGCGGAGACAGCTCGCCTCCTCTCGGATTTTCTCCTCAATGCTGCCAGTTCCGACCTTCATGCCCAGGTTCTTCATGACGGCGGTGGCGAACCTCTTTCTCTGTCTGTACTCGGGTCCCCAGCGTGCACCAACTATGTCTACAGGAGCAAAAACATTGCTTGTATCTTGTATCTATTTCAATGCATGCCTGGACGCCAGGTTGAAGCCATATAGCTCACAATGTCGTTTAATACGCCATACTGGTGATTAGAAGCGAGGCTTTGGCAGAGCCGACTGACGACAAGGACCTTTTCTTTCGCAACAGAGCTGACTTAAGTAGCCTCGACCTGCTTAAGAATGCCTTTCAGTTGTACGACGTACTATTAACAAAATCAATGGTGAATAGTAGTTTACCTTTTCCAGAATTAACCATCGCATCAAGCAGGTAAAGTGACGGCCTGGTCGCAAACAGATCGGACCTGTCCACGAGCGTGTCCCTGACGGCAATGTAGCCGTTCAGAACCACCACATCTTCCATCCCCATCCTGACGGTGAAGACGTCCCCGTACTGCCGACTCCACGCCGTCAGCTTGAGGTGAGGCGTACGGCCCAAGGCGAGGAGGTGCCCGAGAACAGGCACACGTCCTGCCGGGTAGGGAGGCAGGTTTCGTCGGCGCTTCAGGAGGAAACACCCCAGGAAAAGGGCCGCACAGAAGACGATAAAAGACTGCAGAGTCAGCCCAGAGATCTGCAAAATCTCCCAGACGGAGTCAATTACCCAACTCACGTTTATGGCGGCCGCCATGTTTCTAACGAATGCAGAAAACCTGCGCAGCTATTGTCTTTTATCCGTAGTCTATGACCAGATAACGAAGTCGCCCGATGAGTAGCATGACTCACGCCAACAAAACCGGGACAAACTTGTTCCTGACTCTCCCTCCTGTGCTTTATCTATTAGAGGTTTGTGGTCTTTTAAAAATGAATTTGTAGCATGCACCCCAGTCCCATGGGTCAAGAGAAAGTCACAGAGAGAAAGAGAGAGGCACGAGAGTCGTTTATTTAGTCTTTCTGCTCTATCATTCCATTTCCATGACACTTGTCTCGTGGCTGTGCTTAAGCTTCATGAAACAAATTGTTCTAGCCCTTAGGGCCTGACGCCTGAGCACCAGCTATTCAGTGTCACGACTGATGCATGAAATGCTGAAATGTACATAAATGTCTTTGCAGCACCCCAGTCTTACCAATCGTCCTATAGATCAATGGAGAGTCAGAAAGACACATGACATGCACGAGAGTCGTTTATTTGGTCGCTCTACTCTAGTACGCCGTTTCCTGTGCCATTTTGTCCATGACCCTTGTCACATGACTGTGCCCTCTTGAAGTAAACAGTATCTAGCCCTTAGGGCCTGACGACAGCAGCAGCTATTCAGAATAACAGTGATGATGCACTATTTTAGACAAAGCGGTTATGGAACCAATGAACTATGGCCTACATTCTTTGCAGTGTATTAAAGCTAATACATAAACATGTCGGTGACTTACTTTAGACCCCTGCTACATAAAGAAAGGAGGAAGACAAGCGGTATATCAGGAAAATAGGCTGTAGATGTATTAGATTTTCTAACAAAATCAGATCTACTTTTCTACAACTGTTGCATAACTGTTGCATAACTGCTTTGATAACGGACGGCAATGAAAAATTTTATATTTATTCTACAAAGCAGGCCGTCATATGTTCTTGTGATCTTTACATTTTATGATCTGCCAGAGTAAATTTAATCCGGCATTACTGTTCTGTACGTACAATTACTAGTAGTCTATCTTCGACCTACTGAATCTGAAGGAACATGAAAACGTGAAATCTAAAGTCAAGATTGCTTTTTTCTCGCCTATGTTTGCTATAATTGTTCATTGGCCTTTCATACACCTAATATTTTCCTTTTATACACCTGCATGTCATACTAAATACAGTCACCATTTCTCTGCTTCCACAAGCTAATTTTCATCTGGATGTTAAGTAGAAAACTCAGATGAGTGACGTCATTTCTCGTACATCTGGCCAAAAAGCACACTAACGCGGTATCGCACAGAGCTTAGGGACTGTACGATATTACCGGGAGGGGGGGGGGG